TAGTCAACAAACTCGAAAAGTCCTCTCTGCAACGTGCCTTCCTAACCCAGGCTTCATTGATTCTACGAGCAGATGCAGAAGCGTTCGGTTTCGAGCTCAACTTGCACTCATGTAGCAGGGGCAATCTTTTTTGCTAGTGTGTAAGCTCCATAGTGAAGCAAGTACAGAAATGTTGTAATCAAAATGTACAAGGAGATTGAGCGCTTCCAGACCACATCGCAATCTTTGAAAATAATCAGCAAAAAAATCAAAGAACCACGGCCTGAAAAAAGGGGATAATTATTGCTCAACCTGATACTTCATGCAAATTATAATTATTGAAAAAAGAAGAATAATTTCCAGTTTCCAGGATTTGGCAACATGATGAAGGTGTTTCCTGGAGTACACCCGGCCATGGTGGCCTCAGGACGCCAATGCGATCGCACCGTTGGAATCACACAGCCCACTGGCAGAATCGTTCCCGATGCTGCAGCCTCTCTACTGGAACAAAAAAGTGAGTCTTGATCCCGTCATGTTCTAACTCTGGACGGTGCCAAAGCCAAATATTCATCATAAGATCTTACATTCAGATACTAGTTGCATGGGTGTCCGGTAGAGGGCCACAGTTCATCAGCAAACTCAGCGATGAAGAGCCTAGTCGAAGGACTCACACATCATTTACGGGAGGCGTTAGGGGACCCAACAATACCTCTACCCGTGAAGATATACAGGTAGAACTGTGGATAGAAATTGGTCTAATGCATGCGGCGCTATTAATTCATTCATGTTGTAGGCACAGCTGGATTACGGATCCGTTAGTGTGGAGGCAGCTATTCGTACCTTACAACCTGATTCTGTGAAATATGTACCTGACGCGTTTGTGAGGATGGCCGAGCCGATAATTATCGAAGACAAGTATGTCATTTCCTCTCACAGAGTAATTTTGATGTTAAAATAACTTGTAACGAAAGTTTGATTTTTTTTACAATTAGTACACCGGAGATATGCCGAAGTTCATCCAGGCATTCTGTGCATTCCATATGATTTAGCGAATCTCGCTGGATGCTCATGTCTTTTCGGGGAAAACTGAGCGCCTGGCCTTAGAGACATCTGCTATCTCGACACGGAGCCCTCGTCCCGGCGGCGAGAGGCAGAGGACGTGACGGCTTCGTAGCATGCGTTCCGTGTGATGTGGATAGTGCGTTCCATTTAACTTGACGCGCAATCGCAGCAGTGCGCGTTGCATGCGTCCGCATCTCTGCCTTCTCGCCGCGCGACGGGCTTCCTTTCGAGTACCTGAGACATTGTTATGCCAATCGTCCTCTCCCTACTTCTTGGCCAGGGTTTCACCCAGAACGGCTAAGGTCTGATATGTAGAATGATCTGCACTCTACGTTTAGGCCAACGTTCAATGCTCTTGTTATCTCATGTCTACGATCAAACAGTCGATAAAAAGGAAGCGTCACGCTGGCTTCCACGCTGGATTTGCTACCCTCGCGTTATCAATCGATAAGGTGTGAGGCAGTAATTGTTGGACGAGTGTAAGCCCATGGAAGATATGATACGATGAGATAAGAAGGTGCGGCTGCTTGATAAGAGGTGCACTCCAGAATGAAAACGGGACGATAACGATAACGGTATCATATCTAGCACGCTCTTATCGCACCCCTTTCCACATCGATAAGTCTTGGTTTTTGCTGAACGGAAGTGGATTTCGGCGCCTTATCACTCCGTTGATAAGGCGCCACTGCCACTGAAACTTCACGTGTTGTAACACTGGGCAGGACCTCTATCCACTCCAATACATAGCTTCCCTTATCGTTCCCATGAAAATTATCGTGACCACTTCCTTTAAGTGATGGATGTTGAATACTTACTCATCGTTTGATCTTGCAATTCGTGCACATACAGCAACGCTGTTTCCAAGACATATGGGCCGAATGTCCAGAACCACAGTCCGATACCCGCGACGAATGTCATAGGCTAATGGAAAACCGATAATATTATAGTTTGGTAGAGGGACGTGTCGGAAGCAGATTGAGTAATTTCATTTCTCGGAATTTTAAAAGCGAGCGAATACGTCACAAAGACTATTTTGTGAAAGAGACAATCCCTTAATCCTTTCTCAAGTCTAGTGTTTGGGATTTTCGCCGGGAAAGGATGATTAATAGAAGTTTCCATGTAAAAGACCTACACTGATGGATGTGTTCTGGATGCTGATCTCGAATCTGCTGTCCCTGATGGGTTTTTTCTTTTCGAACGCGGCAACTTAGCTGAAGAGACAGCCCCTGGGTTTCTTGATCAAACGCATTCATAGTTACTCGCCATGCAGTTCGCACGAGGGAATTTACCTAAGCAAATTTTGGGTGAGCTACTTGCTTATGACTGCACACGAATACTGCAGAACTCTTGACAGACGTGCTTGCAGCAGACGGGTACGATCTTCGTATTCCAGAGATAAAAATCTCTAGAGGCAAATTTGTAGCCAAATCACCCATCGGGGAATCGATCCCACGACCTCTCGCACTTGAGTCCGGACCGACCACTATCGCTGCTATATTTTTCTTCATAATTCTGTGAGAAAATCGAATGGCGAATTTGCAAGTAGATTCGAGATAAACGCAATGAACACATTCAACGATGTAGTTCCCTGCATATGGCCACTTCGACCCATCACTCCTGCCAGGGTGAATATCGGTCGAGGAAATCCTCGACAGGGGGGTCGTACCTGTTGGGCTGGTCCATGGGGGGTCGTACTCTTGGGGGTCAGTAACAGAAGTGGTATCATGGTTGCGATAAGATATTGTTCTAGACACATTCCGAGTGTTGCCAACGAGTCACACTTGCAATGGTGAATGAGGGAGCGGATTTCCAGGTGGCCGGATCCGACCTCGATAGATCCTCGACGCAATTATCTCTTCAACCAAAAAGCTGTAGAAGAAAACTAAACAGACCATCAGGAAGCGCAAACCTTCCGCTTTCCAAAACTATCTTCCCTTTTTCAGGATCTTACAATATAAGAGATATATTGCTCTTGAAGTGGCAAAAACTCGCGTGAAAATTTGGGCCTCCTCGACATTTACTCGACGAAATTTGACAGACCCTATCTTTCTGCAAGGAAGGCTTCCAGAGCAATTTCGATGCTTGTTGGAAACGCGAAATCCAGCTCTATCTAACTCTACCTCAAGCTGCTTCAAAGGTTGTGAAATGGAGGAATGCAACCTTTTCATCGAGGGTGTAGATTCGGACGTTTTTTTTTGAAATTTCGGCAAATCTGACCCAGTGACAATCGCGCCGCAGCTGCCGTTGAATCGGCCTTTGATACACTCGGCTGTTTTGATATACTCAAGCAAGAATCAAGATTGAATCGCAACCCCGTGTCTTCAGGATTTCTGTGCGTTTCTGAACGAACCTCGCCTTGAGGTCACACAAAGTTAATGCCTCTTTCCTCGAGTCGATATTTCAGTATGTACACAAAAGTATGCAGCGATGGAAGACGTGCATAGATGACAAGATGAAGCGTCCTTAGCATTATTTTGCAGAATTTTTTTTGATTTGTTTTGCAGGATTTATTTTAATTGAATTAATTTGCTCTGTTAGAGGGGGTCGTGCCAGGATCTCGATTTCGGGGGGGGGGGGGGTCGTACCTCTGCGACCACGTACTCGACACGATTTTCACCCTGCTCCTGCCTGGTTAGTCATTACGATCCGTTAGGAATGAACTATGGAGACGAACCGGTTAGTTCGGGCGTTTCGAAGTCTGTTATTTGGAGGGACCCTTGCTGCGACGATCTTTTTTCTCACATGAATCCGTTCATCAGACCACGTAATCTTTAGCCACTGAACCTAACAAAAAAATGCTAAATTTGTGGAGTTCAAATTATCATGATCAAGAAATGGCTGAAACTTAAAGGAGGATTGCACGGAAAGAACGAAGGTCGAAGAAGGGAGAAATCGCCTAGTGGGGAGAGCGGTGAATCTCTTGAGGGTGCGGACAGACACGCAATCGGCATCGAAAGATTTGACCTCTGAGATCTAGCATGGCTCAAAGTTGGCGAGTTCGGCGATCTCCGCCCACCGATCGTCTGATCACTCGCCGTAGTACAATAGGTGGCGAGTGATTAGATAGCTGAGAGAGCGTAGGGTTGAAGAGGGCAAAGCGATGAGAGTCCCATCAATGCTCAAATCAACGGACAAGGAAGGGGTCCCATTTCTCCGGTTCTGGGCCGTTTTTCGTGGTTTCGCTTTCTTTCTGGTACTACTCACCATCTCTACCTCAATTTGGAATGGGTTGCTTTTCCATCGTAAATTCGTCCTTTAAAGGAAGCGATTACGATAAGGAATTTTCGCATCGGGGAGAACCTGCGCCACACGGAGCAATTACTTGGCTGCCAAGGAAGCGATGTGTGGTCCTCCCACGGCGAAAGGTGCTGTGGTTGCTGAGCAGGACCCGCGTGACGCCCCGCCCCCAGTGACGTGACGCCCACTAGTTTTGTTGATGATCTGGATGGACTGTTTGCTGTTGGCTTTTCATTTTGGATGATCATTTCCCTTCTAGCGGCTGTATCTTCCAACTTGCCCACGTATTGCCTTATCAATCAAAACACTATGCTTGTTGGCATGATGGCGGCTATCGGGGTTAACACGTCCGAACAACGTCGTTCTTTACCGTCGCTCATCCATGGTCGAAAATGAAAGGGCAATCAAAGGGGTACTATTTTGCTTATTTTTGACGGATTTCTTTGCTTTTTTCGCCATTGGCGTACTATTGAGACCCCCACGTCCCCTCTAAACCCCTTTGAGATCTATCGTAATCGCTTCCTTTAAGTTCGGGGGGGGGCACTCCATTGTTTTCCAATACTCAAGATAAGGATGAGAGCGCTCACGACACGTAATCGACTCATTTAAAGTAGACTTCTGATAAAGTATCGGTGTAATGGGTGAGAAACCCTGAAACGTTTTCACATTTCCGCCTGCCATGGTCCAAGGGAAACGGTCCTGGACCAGGAGAAAGGACACCTCCGCAAAGGGCTAAGGGTGCAGGAGCTCCAGGTGGATCACCTGTGCAGAAAAGTGGATGGGATGGGCAGGTAGTGTGGAATGTAGGACATCCACCGGTCCTTATCAAAAGTACGCTCGAAATGAGTCGTTCACTTATTATCTTATCCGTAGTGTTCGATAGCCCAAAGAACTGCTCTCTAGTACTACGGATAAGATAGCAATGGAGTGCCCCCCCCGAACTGGAGTTTCACCGAAAACGGAAAACTTGCACAGATTTGAGCTGTCCCAGCTGGGAAATTCCCCAACTAGAATTCTCAAGTAATGGGAAATAACACATGCAAGTCATTTTCTACTTGTATCTGTATCTACCCTGTCAGTTAAAGGCAATCCCTCTCTATATTAGTCATAGTGGATCAAAAATGAAAAAATTCCAAACTTGTGGCCGTAGCCGTGCGTACGATGTTTTGCACTACAAAAGCCGCTGTGCTCAACTTCAGGGCTATGAAGACATGAGCGGCTATGAAAGAGACAAAAACAAAATGCGAGAGGTCCAATCGTTTTCAATGTAAAATAATAATAGTGCTTTAGTTATATGATATATGGTGCGATGCCTAAGAAGTTGTCTGTTTAAGGCCTGTAGTGTGCTTCGCTGGAGAGCATACTCATCCGACCATGTACCAGACAACGATCGGCGCCTACGAATCTGGAGAGAGAGAAGCCTTCCGTATTATAGACCATTTATCCCTCAATATTGGTTGATAGAAGGCTTTATGTTTTGTTTTCTGTATTTTTCACGTTTGCAACATACTTCAATGTTTGAGTGGTCTGAGCGGGTTTTTAGGGGTGTGCAATAAATTTTCAAATCTCTCAACGTTTATTCGCGGGGGATCGAAGCATAAACTCCGGCTCATAATTGCATATGCTGAGTGCGAGGGTGAAATCCCTGCGCTCACTCAGTCAAATTCTCTTAGAGTCCACACCTCTAAAAGCAGGCCGTGGATTAAAATGGTGTGTACGAGAGCTCAATTATGTGTTTAAGAGGGTTCAATTATGATGGTGGAGGCTTGGGTCGGCCTGCAAACGAAATAGAAAGCAGAAAAAGCCTTAGAATCCTCCTCTATTTTAAACACATTCCACCAAAGGTTGGAAAGGGGCGTGTTGGACGAGTTTCACTAGTCGAGCTCTGCTGCAGTGCCAATGACATTGAACCGCTACGTAACCGCTGCCGCAAGGTTTTCACCCATTGCGATTTCCTGAAAAGGCGGGTGCGACTATTGGTTGTAAAGATGTGTGAGGTGAATATACAATGGGGTTCATAGTCACCCTCTAATTGCATTTTCGAACCAGTACCCAACTGGAATTTTTTCTAGTATTATCAAATGATTCCTCACTACGAATAACCTCCTGTATCGCAATTTTGGTGGGAGCAGCTTTTCTTCGAACTTTTTAAAATAATTATTTTTTGATTTTTTGCACCGTTTCATAATATAAGGTCACCCTGAGAAGAGGAACAACCCAAGATCAGTGACAGGCAAAAAGACATAATAATGTATGGTTCCTCCTTTATCAAGGGCAACATCGAATAGTCTCCGTGGCCTACGGAATTGAGATTCCAAGGCAGATCACCATCGATTCACTTCCGTGTTCAAGGGTTGCTTGTAGCAGCTCTTTTGTAGTTTCTAACTGGCGTTTATTCGCATGATCTCCAAGACGAAGATGTACCTGAAATATTCTAACGAAACACCACCAGAACTTCAGATCAACCCTTTCGGACCTGAATTTTTTCCGTGGAAAAATTTTCTCTTTGTTTATTACTTGTGAGCATATAGGTATCATTATGGCGAAATTTGGAAGCTATTCGATCACAAACAAAGAAACTAAGAAGCTTTGAAAATTGGCCCACCTTCTTAGTTTTTAAGCTTATGTCGAAACAATTCCAATTTCATAGTTATGCCGAAAAAGTTTATAATCTTGCACAACATTATAACCCAACGTTTTGATAATCAATGAATACACCAGAGGCTAAATAAAGACATCTGTCTCCACATACATGGCTTCGCCATTGCTCAATTCAAACTCGAAATGATCCCAACTGTGTATTAAAAGAGCACATTCATTTATAAAGAATCCTTCATATTGCACCTCTGACGAGCATCAAGAAAAAATTTGAGACTGAAAATGGTGCACTGTCGAGTTCATGGGTCAGTCGAATCCGGACCTAAGACCAACCCGCACACGGATGTACCCGCCCCACAATAAACACCTTCACTGAAAAGACGAGTTTCGAGAGGTTGCACAGGAAAGCCAATGTCTCTAGGCGATCCCGAAATTTGTAAGAGCTTCAGTGAAGCAGCTCACTGTTTCGCGCCTCCTCGAGTTCGATCGACGCTAGCACAGACGACGTCAGTATACAGCAACAGGATATGAGCAAATGAAAGGAGCCGCACCCTAAGAGGACCATTCACGAAAACTTGTGCTGAAAACTTCCCTCAAGACTCGCACACTCCGAGAAAAAGGCGAAGCTGCGACTGGCCATAGAATGTCTTTTTGTGATACCCTTAGCGAGTATTAGACACATAATTCCTTACCTAAGCCAGCTGCTGAGACGCAGACCGCAGAGTCAGTGTTGCACTTGTCGAAAAATTCTTGAATGCAGACCCCACAACAATAGAAGGCTGGTTAAATCATTAATGGGGAGGCGAAGTTGTCCAACCACTAATCATAGCAGGACGTGTAGAAACTTGAGCTGTTGCAACCCGGTAATGCAACATTAAGCCACGGTAAATGCACTGCCAAGCAATAGGGTACCGGTTCAGCTAATCTGAATTCGATAGTAATTCGCTTCTGGTAGAGAAGCCAGTATCGGTTACCTTTGCTGTCCTGAAATCCTTGGAACCCGTTGTGCAGGTGGAAGAAGCAAAATTCCAGCCAACACTATTACAGGAAGCCCTCAACACCTTTCATATCTCCTTCACTAGAACGAGTGCTTAAAGGAATCTTGCGCGGAAAAATCATTCATTTCAGCCAGTAAAGCACTGCTGAGACTCATAAAACCACCAATAACAGTGAACCAAGAACACCAATCTATTTGCTCGTTTGATTCGAAATCCGAAAAGCTCGAAAGCTGCTAATGCGTTCGAAGTTGCCGACGACTCTTGAATGCTGGCGACGGGGATGCTTAAACTTGGTTCTTGAGTGCATTCACTAGAAGCTCTTTCTGGCCTTCTGCTTCGTTGCATTCACATCTTACACTTCTACTCCATCCTATTCCATCGATCGATTTGTCTCCACTCTCCGAAATCGCGCGCTTTAACCCGATTCTCTCATTGCGTCGCCTGGTACGTAGCCGGCCAAACGCCGTCTTCTTTCCATGCCTCGCCTGGCTCTGCCTCCTGGTCCTTCGATGGTCCATAACGTGTAGTTTTTGTACGTTTGTTTCTCTTCAGAAACCGAATCTTCATGCGTGAAACTTTGTGTGCTATTTCCAGTGATCACAACTGACATATTCATGTTAGGAAAGAGTGCAAGAATTTTCCGCGCAAGATTCCTTTAATGTGCCACTTGAATCACGACAAAGCGTGTTCAATATCACAGAAGTTGGTCGTATAATCGCTTTTATCCGAAAACATCAGTTCTACCAAAATTATGTAGCTGTATGGTGCAATTGTGACGCAAGCTCAACTCTGTGAAATCTCTCTCTGAGCTCAACTTTACTGTTTCCAGTTGTGTCTACTCGAAACGCACAGAAAGCCTTCTTTGGTGTCTTTCCTTACAATGTCGTTGCTTCCTATCAGCGCCCTTCAGTTCATACTTCTTGAGATAGAAGCATCAAATTGCGAGCAAACCTGATTTCATGAGCCAGTACTGCAGGGTGGGGCATATTTATGGTGACAAAATTGTACTACAGCAGATGCATTCACTAAACAATGACTGGGGCGCATGACTAAACCCTCTGATTCACCACTGTCTCTACAAATAGTTACAATACAATGATTTCATGGTTTCATGATTTTTATTTGGTGAATAGCTCCACCTAGCACGAAACTAGTGCGATTTTTAGCCTCATGCGCTGCCGGGTGTATCCTTTTCGGGATCCACCGCATTTGAAGAGCACATTGCCAGACCGCCATACAACTCTCCTTTGCAGGACACATCATTGTCTTTCTCGTGGAGGACGCTTACGGAAGCTAAAGTGTGGTTGCGAATATTGAAGAAAGAGTATCCCCTGCGACTCATTGAGGACTATGATAAAATTGACGACAGATTCAAATTATCAAGATAGAGGGTGGGAGAGTACCGCGTAGATAGCATGTAATGCAAGCTTACAAATACCATAAACTTCATGTTTTTTCTGATAGAAGGAAGGAAAGCAGGGTTCAAAATATTGAGGGGTTGAGGCTAGGGTTGCGAAGGGAACCAGTATGTGCACCGACGAAAAACCTCTTATATTGGGCGGTCATGCCATCATTCAAAAAATACTCAGAAGTAATTACTATGTGTCCGGAAGAAACTATAACAGCAGAAACAACGCGAATCAAACAAAAGCTCCTAGCACAGCGATGCATCTCAATTTGTTTTCGCCTGGTGGAGATCCAAGATAGTGAAAGGAAGTAGAAAGCTCCTGTCGCCTACAGGTGATAACGATTGGATTCACCAGCAAGGCGGTATGAAGGCTCATAGTATAAATTTTGGAATTCCGCTGCATAGCCCATGCCCGGTTTTGGGCTGCACAAAGACTGGCCAACCAAAACCTACGAGTTGAATGTCGTATATTGTTTACCAGATTAGCTGCGCACACATTCGCGTGCACCACTTGGGACCAGGGTGAATATCGCTTGAGGATTCCTCAACGGCACGTCGAGGATTCTCTGCCCGATCAGACACGATCTCTCGCGCGGACATTCACACTCGCCATGGGCGTGCCGTCTGTGCTCTCCGCGCGGATGTTCACTCTCGGCACTACTCTCGCATGGTAGAGAGCTATGGTCGAGGAAATCCTCGACCGTTATTCACCCTGCTTGGGACTGCAATGGTATAGAACAGGGCCAGTGATATTTTAATTGTTCGCTGTGGCCCAACAATAGCTTTGACCTTTATCCACTAGACACCTTCATTCGCCATCATTTATCCACTTTTCCCGATCTCTAGACCCTCTTCGAACCTACTGTAATATCACGTGACAAACTCCGCCTACTTCGGCGCGCTCCACCCACCAATAGCAGTTGACCTCCCTTCCGTTGACGGACTCAATCCACTTTTTCCCGGTCTCCAGGACTTCTTGGAGCCGAGTTACAAGTTTCGTGGATAACTCCGCCCACTTGGTGCATGCCCCACCCATCAATAGCAGTTGACCTCTATTCTGTTATCGCACTCAATCCACTTTTTTCCCGGTCTCCTGGATTTCTTGGAACAAAATTATTGTAGGGCAAACTTCACTGAGCAATAGCATTTGACCATTCTTCGTTGACGGACAAAATCCCAATCTCGAGAACTTCTTGGAACCGAGTTACGTGTTTCGTAGAGAACTCCACCCACTTTGGTCATGCCCGCCCACCGATAACAGTTGACCTCCACTCCTCCACCCACCTATCCACCTTTTTCCGGCTCACTAAGACTTTTACGGCCTGAATTATGAGGATTTGTAACGAAGCACCTCCCTACACTATTTTCTTTTCTGCTCTGTAGGCTTTCTCCTAACCGAGTTATGAATATTTTCATTGAGCACCGCTTTTTTAGAGAACGCCCCGCCCACCGAGGGT